AGTTAAGGTCAGTTTGCTATTGTTAGCGTTAGTTAAGGGATAGGTTGTTAACGTTAGGATAGTTAATCTTAAGGTAAAATTAGCTGGGGTGTCTAATCTTCAGGTAAGCCTATAATTACAGTCTGTCATATACCCTATAGTTCCTTCATAAAAAAGTACATTATGTAAATATTTGTCGTTTGACAAAAACATTGTATGTACTCAGTATGCCCGGATGTCTCACTTTTCTAGATATATAATGATAAACCTTACTGCACTAATCAGTACTTGGGGGGAATTAGGCAGTTCATGCCATTCCATGTCGCATTTGGAGTCACACAAGCTCCGAGGGTTCAGATTTGCCCCACGAGGGGGCTAGTTTATTAGGCACCCCCTTGCATCTTGTGCAAGGCGAAACGCAAAAGCGTTTACAGAAACTAACAGGAAAACATGCGGACTTCATGCTTGCTTTCTTGACTCGTGCAATTAAGGGCGTAAGTGCCCGAAGGGCCATGGAGTATGTCGCCAAGTTACATAAAGTGACAGGGTGAGTGTGTGAAGGGAGGATTCCCGATATAATACATCTGTTTATGGCAAGGTGTGGCAGGTCCCTAATAAGTAGAGTGTCAGGCCTGTCTCTAGGGGGAGGGATATTAGGTCAGGAGGAAGGGGTATTGATGACGGCTGAGGGCCTGTGATGTGGTAGGATAGGCACGGTGGGGGTGGAGGGAGGCACATAGGCATTAACAATAGTAAGGGACAAACCTTTTAGTGGGGGTGTGCGTCGGTAGTTACAGCATTGAGGAGGAGGTGGCTGCTCAGCTTCCTGTCATCTCGTGACCCTGGCCTTTTAATATTATGACGTTTTAAACACCGGGGCTTCGAGGTTTTTATGGCGTATATATAAACCAGGAGAAACTTAAACTAACCTTAACTCTTGACATATATAGAAGTACTTAAACTAACTAAACCTCTTGACAGGGATATAGCAGGCACCACCCTCTCTACTCGCACTCGTGAATAACAGGTAGTAAACGGTGGTGGGCAGTTCATTTCATTCCTCCCGACAGTTTTAAACCCACACTTAACTGCTTGAGTAGGGTAGTCAACGCACCTGTAACTATTTAACTATATAAATAATTAATACACTTGGAAACTGCATAATTCATAGATATGTAGAGAGGCTGCTTAACTCGAAACAAAGACCGAGATCGTCCTTGACATACGAATCAGTATGATAAACTTTTTCCTTGTCCGTAGAATAACTTGAGAGCGGAAAGAGTTAAGTGTTCATGTGTAGCAGCTTCTTAACAGTCTAACTGCTCTGTTATTACTTAGGTTAAAGGATATGCCATAGATCTTTTTTTTTTTTTTTTTAATTTGTCCCACGCAGTCCAGTTGATTGGACACCCCAATTCATCATGTGCAACTGTGCGAGGCGAATCGCCAGAGCATTTAAGACGCTCGACAGGGAATCGTGATGCAGAGGTCATGCTTACCTTCTTTGACTTAAATAATGGAAGGGCGCGAGTGTCTGAGGAACAATTGGCTATGTTAGTAAGCTACATGTCCTGTAGGAAGGATAAATGTACTGTACGTAGGGAGGTTCTTTAGGCCTGACACATGTGGATTTTGGTGTTAGACCTACTGAAAAGAACACCACCCGGTAGTATGTTGACCAAATAAGTTGATGTCCCGCGAGGATCGTGTAATGAAGGGTGTGACGTGTGGCAGGAAACCTGTTTGTTTACTTTCTTCTTCGACGTGACTCGGGTGGTGTGGTGGCGGCAGGCGACCTAGCACACTTACTGTAACTATGCTGCAACTAATGGTACACTTTTTGGAAGCCACGGCTACCAAATAGATTCACAAATTGGTACCGCCAGGCCTCCGAGGATGGTATGTTTACTAATCTGGCCATCGTCAACATTGTACATAAACAAGTTACTGGAAACTGTTCTCTTAGCTCCTTCTTTTACTCAATTATGGCTTTGATAACTTTTTATGCACACATTGCTTTCATGTTGTTGGTGTTCCACTTCAAAGATTTTTTTCTGAATTATCTCTTGCAGAGCTCAGATAACGTGGAGGGTCGTGGTGATCCGGTCATCTCGGAAAGACTAGTCACCTGGGGGTTAGTTGAGGTAGACTGGGGTCACTTTGGGATCATCTTAGAGACTGGGGTCAACTGGAGATCAGAGCGGGACCGTGGGTTCAAGCGGCAGTCATACAGAGGCGGGTGGTCGTCTCTCTCCAGCAGGGTAGGGAGAGTGGTCATACTGGGGGAGGGGGAGAGTGGAAAGTTGAGACCCCTCAAGCCCCATTCTTTGTCACCCCAATCCCCCCACATCACCCAATCCCCTCTCCCATTCCCCTCATCTGATTGGTGTCGGAGTTATTTGTGTGAGTGTAGAGAAAGGTGGGAGGGAATGATAAAAGATTAGGGAGGGGTGGGAGTTGATGATAGTTCGAAAATTGAAGACGTGTGAAAGGAGGTAGTAGTTGGCGGGCTGACCAACTAGTTGAGGTGTGGTGAGCCGTTGTCGGAGAGGTAATGTCCTTCCTGTCTTCGGCGAGGAGTCACACAGTTGAATTGAAACAATTGAATTGAACTGAAACAGTTTATTTAGCCAGAAAAACACATACAGAGTGGATAATAAAAACAATATTAACATGGCTTAGCCAGTTGAGAACCTGAGCTCTTTTAGACACCTAATATATACTATACTGTACATTTTTCTCAAGGAAGTAATATGTAACATTTAGTATCTGGAATAGTACAATAGCATGGTAGTAATAAGAACATCTCATAATGTTATCACGGTTATCACTTCAATATATATTAATTTTATTTATTTATTATTTTTTTAGTTTATTTTATATTTTATATATACATAAATAACAGTGGAATTGAAAAACATAAGTATAATGGGGAGCAGTACAACATGGGTTGTACAGTAATAAGGTTGAACAAGAGGACAGAGCTGTCAGGATTGTCTAGTTGGCAATAATGTTTATTGCAATGGTAATTACTTATCTATTTCCATGATAATTTCCGATAAAACGGTTTTGATGGTACAATAAAGGCAGGTACTGTAAATATAGTAGGTATTACAAGAAATATTACTACTTAGACAATAGATATTTTTTAAGAAATGATTTAAAGGAAGGGAGCGTAGTCTTTGCTCGGATGGGTGGGGGTAAGATGTTCCACACCTTCACACCGGGATAATTTATGGAGGTCTGGGACTGAGAGGAGCGCATGGGGGGTGGTATTAATAGGTCTGGGTGCTTAAGTTGTATCTCTGATTATTCCGGAACTGAAAATAATTATTGTCAAGCAAGTGATTGATACATTTGTAAACAAAGAGGGCACAGCAGTAGGTGTTAATATCTTCGAATTTTTAAATTTTCAATATAGCAAATTTTCCGTTTGTGTGATCCGTTTTTTTCAAGTAGGTCATTGTCCGTACAATCCTCTTTTGTGCAGTAACCCGAGATTGTGTTTTTGAAGAGCCAGAGGCCCCCCATAGTGTGTGACAGTGTATCAGGTGTTGGTAAATGATATCATGATCGATTTCTTTCATTGCTGTGAGAGTGAGTGACTGTCGAGTGTGATACATGATACCACACTGTTTATTGACTTTACTGTGAATGGCTTGTATGTGGTTTCTCCAGTTACGTTTCTCATCAACAATAACTCCGAGGAATTTAGTATTTTGTTCTCGTTTGAGGACTATATTACCAAGGTACAGGGGGTCCAAGTCTGGGGGTAAGTTTTCCTTCTGTGAAAGATCGTGTAGTGGGTTTTCTCAAGGTTTAAGGTCGGTTTATTACGTATTACCCAGGTCCTGATTTTAGTTAATTCAGTGTTCATAGTTCTCATCAAGGAATGGAGGTCTGAGTTGCTGGCATAGAGATTACTATCGTCTGCAAATAAGTTGTATTTTGTGTGTGCTGGCGTGGACTATGTCGTTTATGTACAACAAAAACAGTACTGGACCGAGAATGGAACCTTGGGGGACGCCATACAAGATTGGCGAGGAGTCAGATTGGTGATTATTATAGCAGACCTACTGCTTCCTGTTGGACAGATATGAGGTAAACCAGTTGTGGGACAGGCCCCTAACACCATAATGTTCAAGCTTTGAAAGGAGGATGGTATGGTCGACAATATCGAAGGCTTTAGAGAGTTCCAAGAATATACCGACTGTGAACTGACGGTCATCGAAGGAATTTAAGATGTCATAAGTAAAGGATAGCAGAGCACTCTCAGTCGACCTTCTAGCTCTAAATCCAAACTGGGTATCTGTAAAGATGTTATTGGCATTGCAGAAGGAATTTAGTCTATTACATGCTAGCTTTTCCAGTATCTTACTCAAGGCTGGGAGGACTGATATGGGGCGGTAATTCTTGAAGAGACTTTTGTTCTTCAAGGTTAGAGATGATCTCTGACGTGTTCTTCAAGGTTAGAGATGATCTTTGACGTGTTCTTCAAGGTTAGAGATGATCTTTGACGTGTTCTTCAAGGTTAGAGATGATATTTGACGTGTTCTTCAAGGTTAGAGATGATCTTTGACGTGTTCTTCAAGGTTAGAGATGATCTTTGACGTGTTCTTCAAGGTTAGAGATGAACTCTGACCTGTTCTTCAAGGTTAGAGATGAACTCTAACGTGTTCTTGAAGGTTAAAGATGATCTTTGACGTGTTCTTCAGGGCTAGGGATGATCTATGTCGTGTTTTTGAGGGTTAGAGATGATCTCTGACGTGTTCTTCAAGGTTAGAGATGAACTTTGACGTGTTCTTCAGGGTTAGAGATGATCTTTGACGTGTTCAAGGTTAGAGATGAACTTTGACGTGTTCAAGGTTAGAGATGAACCTTGACGTGTTCAAGGTTAGAGATGAACTTTGACGTGCTCTTCAAGGTAGAGAGATGGAATTTTACGTTTTCTTGAAGGTTAGAGATGGACTTAGACGTGTTCTTCATGGTTAGAGATCAACTTTAACATTGTTCTCCGGCAGGTGTTAAGATGAACTTGGATCCCGGCATCATCTGCTACCAACACTGTGAAGGTCGGCTGTTCGGCTTCTCCCTGCCGTCAACGTGTTACGTGTGTGACGCCGACCTCACCACTGAGCCACTAAACACTCCACCCTTTAGGTCTGCTTACTACCGTATTTATGTCAGCTCACCACCTTATGTCAACTCCCTACCTTATTTATGTCAGCTCATCACCTTATTTAAATCAGCTCACCACCTTATTTATGTCAGCTCAACACCTTATTTATGTCAGCTCACCACCCTATTTAAGTCAGTTCACCACCTTATTTAAGTCAGTTCACCGCCTTATTTATTTCAGCTCACCGCCTTATTTGTGTCAGCTCACCACCTTATTTATGTCAGCTCACCACCTTATTTGTGTCAGCTACCTTATTTATGTCAGCTCACCACCTTATTTGTCACTTTATCCTGCCTCTTAGTACTTCCATAGTCATTATATAGGCTACAATTAGTGTCATTATATAGGGCTATAATTAGTGTTATATTCATTATATAGGGCTATAATTAGTGTTATATTCATTATATAGGGCTATAATTAGTGTCAGTTATTATTTCTACCAGGTGTCAGTCACCTTATCTTGGGTCGCCTCAGTGTTTATATCTCTCCCCCTACAGAGTGCCTTATCCCTTCGTCAGAGCATCCCAGGCACCATGTACTCTGGTAATCAAGCCATCTAGGGGAGATTTCCTACAGTAAGTAATAGTGTTCAGAGTTCTTATGTGGTTCATATGTCAAGTGTCGGGGTTCTGTTTTGGTTAGGTTTAGTTTTAAGGAGTTCTATTAGGTTCTGTTTGAAGGAGATCTTTTTGGGTTTAGTTTTAGGGAGTTCTGTTTTGGGTTTTTTAAGATAAGATAGTTCTGTTTTGTTTCTTTTAACATCAGGGAGTTCAATTTAAGGTTATTACTTTGATCCGTAAGTCAAGTTTTTGTTCGTGCTTTGATCCGTAAGTCATGTTTTTGTTCATTACTTTGTTCATTACTAGGCTCTGATAATGGAAAATGATTTTTCCGAAACGTTAGTGATTAAAGAAACCCAACTTAGTCAAGATGTTTGTTTTCTCCCTGGTTCTCCTCTTCGTTATGAAACTGGAGTTAACGTGATGTTGGATCACAATACGATGGAAACTCACTATGGCGTATTTTATATATTATATATTATATATTATATTTTATATATATATTTCATTAGTCCAATAAAGCACGCAGACTTCTACATATAATCAACACCTCACCCCACCAGGATTCGAACCCACAATCTTATAACTGTGACCGGAGAACGTTACCTCTGGGCCACCATGACACTAAAAGCAGTCCTAGACTCTGTTATATTTTACACAAAGCCTTTAATCCATGTATACTCAGTATATTTTGACACTACCAAGGGAAGACCCCACAAGCAGCTGTCATAGTTAAGTGGAAGGGGAGGGAGTGCCCAACCACTGTTGAGGCCCACCCAGTCCTCCCTCCACTGTATGCAGAACCCTATCACCCCGTGCCTGCTTTGTGTGTCATCTGCTCCCATTGGGGTCACACCTTCACCGCCTGCTGCTGATGTGATCGTCCCAGATGTCGCTTCTGTTCACGTAACCATCACTCCTCTGTCTGTGCCCAAAAAATCAAAGACCACCTCATTGGGGGTGGTGTGGGCTATGTTATTGCCCCCAGGTGTTGTAATTGTGGTGGCTGGCACAATGCTGACTCACGGCAATTCCCCAAACGACGTCCTGTCCCAGGAGTAAAGCCTCCCTGAAGGCTGCGTCAACCTCAACCTTAACCTTCCCTCCAGCCTACCGAGCAACATCCCTCAGCGTCTTATCTGTCTGCAGCAACGCCTTCTTCAACAACACCTGCTCCTGCCTGGCCTTGTATAGCTGCAATACAGCAGTCCTGGCCGTCTTATAACTCAACTACTACTGAGCCTCCTCTCCGTCTCTACTGACGTTGTCAGGCCTTGTGCTCCGACGGGTGCCCCCCACAAACCCCCTCTGGTTACACAACACATCATATCCCTCTTACACAAATTTACCAACCGTATTGAAAGACTCTTTATACACCTTGTACCGCCATCTCCAACTTACACAGACTACCCCCTGCCTCCAGCTGCTACCCAGTCACCCCCCCTCTTCTGGTTTGACACAACCTGGTAGTCCCCCTGTGTGCCCCTCATGCTCACGGCCTACTCCACCGCCGCCTGGCATCACTGCTGGCGTCCACGCTACAGAGCCTGCCCTGTGTCCGGCTGCCCCTGTCCACCTACCGCAAGCCGCGCCCGAGGACACCACCCCCGGCTCCCTGTCCCCCACCGGCATGCTGGCACCTGGGGCCCATCTACTGTACTCCAGTTGTCCACATCAAATGACCACCATGCGGACATGATAGTGGACTACGTATCTACGCCAAGAAGGACATCCCCTACCAACCTCTCGACGTCCCCCTTGAAGCCGACACTACCGACGTACATGCCATCACAATCACACTAAAATGTATGTCCCTCAATATTGTCAATGCCTATGGCCTGGCACTTGACATTATTAGGGACCTGCCACGCTTTGCCATAAACAGATAAATTGTACCGGGAACTTTCCCCCCCACACACTCATCATTCTGTCACTTTATGTAACTTGCTGACAAAACCCATGACCCTTCAGGCTTTTACGCCCTTAATGCATGAGTCATAAAGGCAAGCATGAACTCTGCATGCTTCCCAGATGGGCGCTGTAACCGCTTCTGCGCTTAACCTTGCACAGGATGTAAGGGGGTGCCCAATGAACTAGCCCCCTCGGGGGCAATCCAAATCTAATCTAGTGTGATCCTGAGGAGGCGAGGCTTATCCCCCTGCTTTTGTCCCAGCCTCCTCACAGCGAAAGAAAGACCGGTGTAAGACTATAAATTCACCATTATACTGTATGTATTTAAATATATTAGTAGTCCTAATATTTTTGTTTTTGTGCTATTATCATTATTATATCAACAGTGACTACCGGAGCAGTAGCGACTTGCACATCGGTGTGACAGACAGCGAAGGATGTGTTTTGGAGTACGACAGTGAGGGGCTACACTCGGACTACACCTCAGCCTGGACACAGACCCTCTCTGTGCCAATCATCACTGACGCCACCACCAACACCGTCGACCCCGTGTGGCAGGAGTACTGGGACTTTACCCTTCACACCCTCGCCCGAGAGTCGACCTGGTCCATGGAGAGGTATACTGCAGTACTGTACGTGTGGTTGTGTGTGGTGGATGAGGAAGTGTGTGTGGTGGTAATATATTCTAAGACGGTACTTTGTGTGACAAAGCTCGGAGTGTGTTATACTCTATTGTGTTCCAGTCTTTATTGAATGATTGAACAAAATGAATCGTACAGTTAGATTTACATTTTGACTGGAAATGTGAGAAACAATCCAACTGACTCACTAATGTTACCAAATGGTAGGACAGATGACATGGCGTCGATATTGTAGTGAGACTGCACCAAAAATACAGTCCAAAAACTTAATGGACCTGAGCCTAATTTTCTGCTTCTACAAGATACAAAACAAACCATTTATGGCAGATACAAACGAACCAGGTTGTGTATGTATGTATGTATGTATGTAATAATAATAACAATAATAATAATATAAATAATAATAATAATAATATAAATAATAATAATAATAATAATAATAATATAAATAATAATAATAATAATAATATTATAAATAATAATATTAATAATAATAATAATAATAAAGGTTTATTGATAGAGTTGCAGCAGGTGGCTGAAAATATTCAAACTTACATGTGATTTAGACATAATAATATGCGTTCAATACATTTACAGGGCTGTACAGTACATAAATGAGGAGTTATTTATTATTTTAACAATAGATGGGATGGTGCTGTTCTTATATCTATCCGTGCGGGCTCTTATGGGCTGAATTTTGTCGTAGTGGCGGACTGCACGAGGTGGGCGGGGGACTGCTGGTGGCAGGAGGTGGCTATGACGAGGATGATACAGTAGTCCACTGCCAAACCTTGCTAGTGCGTGGTGGTTGTCACTGAGGGATGGCATTTCCAGGGTGGAGAGAGCGTTGTTGCAGCTGGAGCAGGCCCTTTTCTGTACCTTCTCTAGCTGACTTTGTTGGGTAGAGTTGAGATAAGATGACCAGGCTGGTGACTCGTATGTTAATTTGGGGAGAATAAAGGCGTTTTAGATAGTCCTCCGCTTTGGCATGAGTGCCCCAATTGAACCGAGTCGTCATAGCATGTAGAGTCGGTACGAGGCTGCCTTGATTATGTTGTTTACATGGACTTTCCAGTCCAGTTTGTGGTCTATGGTGACACCCAGGAGTTTGACAGACTGCACTAACTGGAGAGGATGGGCACCCGCTGTGACTGCTGGAGCTTGCACTGGAGTGGTGGCGGTATTGATGTGCATGACTATGCGGTTTTGGTGTGGTTGATGGTGACCTTGTTCTCCGTAGTCCATGCCTGTAGCCTGTCCAGTGTGCCTTGTAGCGATGAATAGTCCGGTGAGGCATTTTCCACTGTAACCCCCACAGTGCAGTCATCCACGTACTTCCACCCGTGAGGAGTGTCCGATAGAACGTCGTTGATCAGGATTAGGAAGCACAGTGGTCCCATCTTGGTCCCCTGGGGAACACCACAGGTGAGGTGTTGGAATGTGGAGACAGAACCCTGGTACAGTGATCAACAAGGTCAAAAGCCTTCCTGAAGCCAACAAGGGCAATAGCCAGTGATGTCTTATGTTTCTGCAGGTTTTTGTGCAGGAAATCCTGGAACTAACTAAGTAGTGTGATGTAGAGGAGGTCCTCATATTGCCAAATTGCTGTGGATCAAATGACTGATAAATACTCGCAAATGCCCACTCAAAAATAAAGTCTTCACAGAGTAGACTGGGTATGGGGATAATTGCATCTGGCCTGAGGTCGTTAGGGGACTGTGGGGTGGTGACCTTGGGGATAGGGGTGACAAATGCGGTTTTGCATTCATTAGGGCATTTGCTTTGTCTGGGGGATGCATTAATTAATAGAACAGAGGGGGGTGGCAAGTTCGACTGCAAACTCCTTGTAAAGTTTGATTGGGAGGTCAATTGGGGTTGTGGAGCGTTTGGATTTAAATTTCAGGAGTTTTTTGGCAATTTCAAATGGTTGAACACTGGGAGGGGGAAGGTAAGTAAGCCGGGAGGAGAGTGAGGTTAGGGTATGACATTTGGTAGCAAAGTGGTTAATAATTATCTCGGCTGCCTCCTCACTGGGTAAATGAGAGATGAAAGGAAGATTGGAAGACTGATGGTTAAGACCACAGATCTTTTACCTGAGAGTACCACTGACCTATGCCGACCTCCTTGAGGCCGTGCACTTTCCTGGGATAAGAAGACTTCTTGGCTGACTTTATTTCCCTGATGACCTGGTAACGTAGACTTCTGTACAGGCGGTTGTTGGTGCAGTATGCCTTGTTGCGCTGCTCAATTAGTCGTTTGATACGGGGTGTAATCCACGGGACATGTATGTATGTAATAATAATATTAATAATAATGATCATGATGATAAAACGGTTTATTGAAAGAGCATGGCAGCCAGAAGGCTGAAAATTATACAATTACATAATTGTGGAATGGGTCACTTGATTGACAAATAATATAGTGTACTAATAATATTAGTGATACATACGGCGTGGGTTAGGTCAAACTATGAGCAGGACAGGAGGATGTATGCAGGAACCAAGCAAAGTCAGTGTGTATTAGGGCTGAAAAGGAATTGCAGAGGCAGATTGCCAACAAGGTCAAGGCAAACCCAAAGGTGTCTTACCGGTATGCAAAGTCGAAATTAAAAACGCGAGTAGGATCATCAGACCTGAGGCTTGAAGATGGTAGTTACGCAGATTCTGACCAGGACAAAGCTGAGGCATTGAACAGCTTCATTTCCTCGGTGTTTACAAGAGAGGATGAGATTAACCTACCTGTGTTTGAGGACAGACGGTTCGACACAGCACTGACCCACATTGTGTTCACAGAAGAGGTTATAAGAAATAAACTGTCAAGGCCAAAGGTTCATAAGAGTCCCGGCCCTGTTATGGTGTATCCCAGAGTGCTAATAAAGTTGTGCAACGAGCTTGCTGAGCCCCTGAAGATCCTGTTCTGTAAATGCTTGGATGGAAAAAGGGTCCACAGTGATTGAAAATGGCTTATGTGAGTCCTATATTCATAAAGGGCGATCGTCACTCCACGAACAACTGTAGACCTGTGAGCTTAACCAGCATAGTATGTAAAGTACTTGAGAGCATTATAAGAGATGCCTTGATGGAACATCTACTACGAAATAACCTTGTAAAGTATTGCCAACACGGTTTAATGTCGGGGCGCTCCTGCTTAACACAATTACTCATAGTATTGGATATTTGGACCCAAATTCTGGAACAGGGTGATAATATCGACAATACATACCTAGCTTCTGCCAAGGCTATCGACAGTGTACCCCCCATGAAAGGCTGAAAATTAAACTGGAAGGGTACGGGATTCGGAGAGATGTCGTAGCGTGGACAGAAGACTTTCTACATGACCGCAAGCAGTGTGTGGTGATTAATGGCACGAAATCATCATCTGTACCCGTCACAAGCGGGGTACCACAGGGCAGTGTATTGGGCCCTCTGTTGTTTGTTTGCTTCATAAATGACATCCCTGACGCTGTACACTCCTCCATACAAATGTTTGCGGATGGCGCCAAGTTATTTCGGGAAATTAAGAACCAAACAGACTGAAGAGTTGAAGAAGGATCTCTGAGTTCCAAGAATGGTCGAAGAAATGACTGCCAAGATTCAATGTTACGAAGTGTAAGAGGATGACCTGGAACATACCAACGGTAAGGAGGCGTATCACATGTCCCAACGGGATGAAGAAAATGCATTATTTGAGACTGAATGCGAGAAGGACCTAGATGTGTACCTTGACAATGAGCTGAAGTTCTCGGGCCATTGCGAGAAGGTAAATCAGGCAAATAAATTATTAGGTCTCATAAGAAGGTCGTTCAGATATCCAGACGGTCCGTCCCTCGTAAAGATCTTCAAGAGTGAGGTGCTTCCCAGTCTGGAGTACTGTCACCCCGTCTGGTCCCCGAGATATACTAGGGAATGTCAGTTGATTGGAAATGTCCAAAGGAGGGCCACCAGACTGGTGCCCGCGCTACCCTGAACTTGCCTAGCTTATACTACAGACGGACAAGGGGGGACCTAAATGAGGTGTACAAGCATCTTGAGAGGCACTACTCAGTCGAGTGTCTTTAACTGAAGCTGGCGGAGGCTCACCCCACAAGGGGTCACAGCTCAAGGTTGAAGAAGCAGCAAGCCCAGAAAACTGTGAGTGGTGTCTTTTTTCGGAGTGAGAGTTGTGACTCTTGGAATAATCCGATAGTGTTGTGACGGCACCTAGTGAGAGCTCTTTCAAGACCAGACTTGACAAACACTGGAGCAGGTTCTGATACATTCAGGAGCCAGTGCATGCCCAGTACTTGCCAACGGTGCATTATAGAGAAGTGACCGATCGCCCAAGAAGCGAAAGAGCCGAGTAATAGTGAGGAGTAAAAAAGTATATGATATATATATAACTAGGTGGGGAGAAGGTTACACTACAGGTCTTTCCAACATAGTAACAGTACAAAAAGGTGAATACACTGGTTGATTATGAGTTGTTGATTACAATCGTTGGGACTGGGCTGTTCTTGTAGCGATCAGTACGGCTCGTTTGGGCTGAATGAGGTTGTGGTGTCGAACAGCAATTAGCGGATGAGGGATCTTGGGTGGAAGTAGGAGCTGGTGTCGAGGATGGTGCAGAAACTTCTCACCAAATTTGCAGATGAGGTCGTGGTAATGATCAGAGAGCCGAGAGGGTCAGTGTATTGAACGATTCTTGATAGGTATTAGGCAGTAGGTTAGGTTAGGTTAGCCCCAATTCCGACAACTGCTGCAGATATCGACTATGAGGCTACTGTCACTGAATGCCGCATAGATCTGCGGCTCAACTAATTTAACACAGATAGGATAGCTACATATGTATTAGGATATTTAATATTAAGGTAATTAAATGGTGGCGAAGGTGTTGCTATTGGGGGAGGCTGGAGACCACGGTTAAAAAAAAAAGTAATTAGGTAGTAGGTATTAGGCAGCTACCAAACAGGGAGGTACTACCGCCTGGGAAGATATTGGAAGCATAATGTGTTGTCTATGGTAGATCTTGCTGCCACATGGCATCGCGAAAATTGTGACCAAGTCCCAGGTTGCTGATCTGACTTTCTGCCTCATTTACACACAATTGCAGGGTCTCAATTGTTTCTCTTACTATTGACAACACAACATGCATATATTGTTTCTCACTTGATTTTTTTCATTTTGTATTGCTGCTGCCGCTGCTGCTGCTAAAAAGGGGGGGGGTGAGAATAATCTTGCAGTGTCCTTCTGCGTTTTCTAGAAGGATTAAGAGAGGACCAGGCAGGGGAGGAGGTGGAGACGAAAACTAGAGGATTTGGCAACTGTACTGACGTGTGTTTTCCAATTTAGTTCATCTATAGTGTTGCCAATGAGCTTTGTGGAGTCCACAGCCTGGAGTGTGTTGGGGCCTAAAGTAATGGAGGAGAGTGGGACAAGGTTGGAGAAGAGGTTGATGTGCATAACCATGGTCTTGGTATGGTTGACCGTGACAAGGTTGTTGGTGGCCCAATTTTGGAGACCGTTCAGTATATCCTGGAGGGCGGTGTAGTCGGGAGCCGAGTTGTTCGCACTGATACCAATGGTAGAGTCGTCGACATATTTCCAGCAAGCAGAGGTTTCTCTTAGATTTGGAGCATCATTTATAAGCATAAAGAAGCAGCGCGGTCCCATCCTGGTGCCTTGGGGGACTCCACAGGTGAGTGACTGAAAAGTGGAGACAGCCCCTCGGAAAAGTGTGTTGTGTACTCTTATGTACTTGTATGTATGTATGATTAATCAGTTGTTGTCACCACAGATACTCGGCGTCTTCCTTCAACTGCTACTCCTTCGTGTTGGAGTTCCTTCAGGCTTTGGGACCACCTGGCCTGAATGTGAAAAACCTTACCAAGACGTCCCTCTGTGCCCAACTCCTTGTCCCCCACACCTCTGCCGCCGCCAGGTACATCTCCCTCTACCGGAGACTCCTCACTGAGAAGGTGGTAGCCGTCAACAAGTCCTCCTGAAACCTTCTGTGTGTTATATGATCTTGATATATTTCCTTCTTCTTCTTCTCTCTTCTTTCTTGTCATTCCGAGAGTTGAGGGGTTGGTGCTTATCCTCAACTCTTGGGCAGTTCTCTCTCTCTCTCTCCCCTTCCACCTTAACTTCTGTAATCTCCTTCATCATTTCCTTCTAACTGGCTTATTTCAGGCTCCTCCTCCTGCTTGGTTCGCCTCACGCACACACACTCACACACACACACACACACACACACTCACTCACACACACACACACTCTCTCTCTCTCTCTCTCTCTCTCTCTCTCTCTCTAATATGATTGTCTTCCCCTGACTGGTTCATTCCACGCTCTATGATCGTCTCCTGATAGGATTATCCTACACTCTTAGCGTCGTTTCCTCCTGATTGGCTCAACCCACTCTCATGGTTGCTTCCTCCTGATTGGCTCATCCCACACTCATCATTGCCTTCCCCCGATTGGTTCCTCCCACACTCATGGTTGCCTTCCCCTGATTGGCTCCTCCCACACTCATGGTTGCCTTCCCCTGATTGGGTCATTCCATACTCATAGTTGCCTTCCCCTGATTGGCTCATCCCACAGTCATGGTTGCCTTCCCCTGATTGGCTCATCCCACACTCATGGTTGCCTTCCCCTGATTGGCTCATCCCACACTCATGGGTGCCTCCTGATTGGGTCATCCCACACTCATGTTCGTTAAATACAAACACCAGATGAAGTTCTTGTTATTTCTTAGACTTTCTGTAGTATTAATAAAAATATATGTTAGTGTATATGATATTGTTTACCTTTTATGATGAAGTAAGAGTTTATTGTTGAGATAAATGAACGTTTCAGTACTGTATCCTCTTCCAAGATAATTCTTATAAAACTACCAGTTCACCACACCGAGAATAGTCATATTTCTATATTTAACGGCCTAATGGCAGTGGAAATCGAGGGTGAATTTAGATGTGAAACGTCCATTTCTCAAACTACAGTATATAGATATGCAAGTCTATTATATCGAGAGTATGTTCGATGTGAGCTGCTCTCCCCCCCCCCCCTTCTCTCCCTCCCCCGTCCGCCCCATCTAGCGATTTATATATAGAGAGAAATTCGCTACATGAAGGTTTCACTGTATCCCGTTAGTAGCTCTTAAAAGACGCGTAGTTTGAGATGATATAGTCAACATTATGAAACCTTTGGTCTTAACTTGAGAGAAATTTGTGCAGCGGTTTTGAAATTATCATTGCGAGCACGAGACCAAGGGTGGGGTCGGTCCATGGCCGACTGTACATATCATGTGTCTGAGGTGTGAGCATATAAACGAAATTAATCTCGATTTAGCAAACTAGTTCACCAAATTGAGTGAAAAATAACATAAATTCCTTCCACTAAATCGAGAGGTCGTTATATCAGATTCCGTTAAATCGAGAGTATACTGGGACCCAAACAGTTTAATTTTAATCAACCTTGGGTATAGTGGGCAATATATATATATATATATCTCTCTCTCTCTCATGGATTCGCATTCCGTGTTTTAAACGTTTTATAGTATTTAGAAACTTAAACTTTGTCGAAAATGAAAGGATAGGTTACTGGTAAAATATCACGTTGTCATGGTGACCTAACAAACAAAGCGTGTTGTCATGGTAACCGAGTCCCTAATATGTTGTATAAACTCTCCAGTGTACGTTACTACAGTGCTCGGGAACATATTCCTGTAGACGTCACCATTATGGGTAAGTTCATGTTAAAATTTGTATGCTAAATAATTACCAAGCTCTAAGTAACAGAGGCTTCACTATCAGCTGCTATAGTTTTAAGATCGTGACCGTATAAGATCAAACATGGTGATATAGCTACTGGTATACCCAATCAAACTTTCATGAAAAAATACGAATAAAATTAATCGTTGAATAATATTTATATCTCACAGGGGTGATATATACTTTTTTTCAATTCGTTGTTCAATCCGTAACTATGTTTGCGTGCGTTTGTCAGGATTCTTTCTTGTCCATGTTAATACTCCCCTAATTTTGTATGAGGAAACTGTATTAGTTCAAATCGTCAATATCGTGCTTCTTCCTTCTAAATATTGATTGCATTCTACCTCCCCTTCTGTTGAGAACGTTTCCAGGAGAAGATTACAAGACTTGTTTGTCAGTAAAATAGTGAGTGCATATTGCTTTTCAAACAGTGCCGATATTTTTTGCACACGTTGTCTTTTTGTTGAATTTGCTTTAGATTTGCATTTGTTTATGACCTAAAGCAACATATTTGATAATTTTTCCCCTATAATGTCATCAAAAGTTGTATACGATACCACTTGTAATCAATTTCATATGGCTTTTTTATATCAATATATCACATCTGGCAGATAGGAAAATTGTCAATATACTGAATATTGAGTTTATTGATACATGTACTGTAACTGTTCATATTCTTTCATAATCTCACATCTATTTCCAATATGTTTCAAAAGAACTGAACCGTATTCATTATGGAACTCGCAATTACTGACTTTAACCTAGGATCCAGTACTATAGGGGGATGGAGCACTCCAATGGGCGACTGCGTTCACCCCGAAATGTAGTGCCGCCAAGTGGCCACTATGTATAAAGCACATTAAGGCCATTGAGCCTTTACATGATACTGTGCGATAACCCCAGATTATTCAACAAACACAATTTAAAATAGTCAGTAGGCTATTGACATTCAACTTAAGAATATCTAGGAATGATTTCTCAAAACACATTTACTATTTTCCAGTAAAAGATAATTATTTTCTCACTTAGGGAATATTTTCCCTTTGGTTCCTAAGTAGGAGCGTTGGTGTTAGATGCAGCTTTAAACCAGTTTTACACCATTGAATATGAATAAAAATATCGCATACAGTTAACCAGTACACCTTATTGTTGTTTTCTTTTTAACAGGCTACTATTTTAGTGCTCATCTAAGAACATCACGGTATTAACAAGTTGGTAACAAAGTAAGATGGACAGGTGAAGAATAGCATCATTAGTGAAGATTCTTACTTCACGAATTCAGGTGGTGAAGAACATAAAAGAGGTGTTGGTTTTCTTGTAAACTAGAGTTTAGGAGTAAAGTAAAGGGATATTGGGCAGTGTCAGAGAATTTTGCTAGTCAAGTTTAATGATTTTTTAATAATAAAGGTTTATGCACCAGCAAATGATAGCGAGTTTGATTTATTAGAACATTTTTGTGAAGATTTAAAGAAAGTAAAAGACACCGTACAGTTAAGCGAGTGACTGATTATAATGGGTGATTTTATCGCAAACGTTGGCAGAGGGAAACTAGCACCAGAAATAGGACCGTGTGTGTGGGGGAAAAAAAAATAATCGGAGAAGAATATTAATTGGCTTTTGTAAGGAAAATAAGATAATAATTGCAAACTTATGGTTTGAATAGCATTCTAGGGATCTCTATGCATAGGTCTCGCTATCAAACATGGAGGTATTAACACCTGGGAAGATATTGGAAGCATAATGTGTTGTCTAATGATAGACCCTGCTGCCATATGGCATCACAAAAATTGTGACCTAGTCCCAGGTTGCTGATCTGACTTTCTGCCTCATTTACACACAATTACGGTCTTAATTGTTTCTCTTAATTTTACAACACTACATTCATATAAAATTTCTCACTCTTGATTTTTGTATGTATTATTATTATTATTATTATTATTATTATTATTATTATTATTATTATTATTATTATTATTATTATATTATATTTTAGCCTCCCAGGCATTAATGCCGGTCATAAAATGGCCTGTGCCCGGGTAGGCTAATGTCCGTAAAAAAGAAGTTAAACATAAATAATATTATCTTTTAACTAAGCTTAACACTAATATTCAAACAAAGAACATCAACTGAGTAGGCTTAGGTCATATTAAGATGCTAGTCCTACGCCTGGTATATTTAATGTACACGAATTTTAAAAGGATTAAATGGTGAAAAAGTTAAAAGCGAGAATAAGAAAGGTCTCGTGTATTGGCGCTCATTAATTATGTGAGTTAGTCTCTCGGACCTGATGCCACTAATAAGAGAGGCATAATGATATCGGTGCACTAGTAAGAGCACTTAGTCAAATAATGAAAAAGAAAGTGGGCCGCATCGGTATGACTGCCCGGTATTGCTCTCGACCGTCTTCACTTCCCCAAGAAGTATTTCTCGGTAACCATTTACAGCTGGGTTAACTAGGGGCGCCTTAGAATTTAACACCAACCCTTGGAACAAGAGGCGAGTATCACTGCTGCCACATTTTCAGGTGGGAATTATCGTACTAGATCTTCAAAATTATCGTTTTTTTCGGTAGAATTATCGTGTTATTATGAAATAATTTTTTTGAACTATTGTACTCCCAAACATCATTATTACGTGTACCTGAGGTTATATCTTTGTAATAACGTATAATCAGGTACTATATATTTACCAATTTTATTTTAGTGTCAAAACTAGAGCATACAATGAAAGTTATATAAGATTACAGAAACATCATATCCTGTTTTAAAAAAATAATTAGAAGGAAAAGAAATATATGCCATTTTAGAAAATCAATATGAATAAGACTAAGCAGTAACTTGCATAAAACTCAAATAATTCTTCAATGTGCTTATTTTTGAAGATTAATAACTCGGTAAGACCATATTAAAAAGAAATATTTTCAGTGATCATCATTAGCCCTCTACTTATAGATCCTCCTCTGTCAAGTTGTGAAACAATTGTGCTAGCCTATCTTCAGAGGGCGAAAATTTGACACATGATCTTGAACTTTTGAGGCACTCGGGTGAGATAAAGCTCCATTTACAGTCTTAGTTTTTAGCTGATTTTTTGTTTGGTTTTGAAGAGATTAATTTTGCTGAATACTCTTTCACATTCAGCATTGGAGTGTGATAAACTAAGAGCAGCCAGTGCAAAGTTTGTCAGATCTAAATTAACACGTTCTTTCTGGGAAACTGCAGCCCAGAACCTATCGGGTGACTCGGTATCATCTATAGGTTGACTCTATCCTGAAACATTGGAAACATTCTCCAATGGTCATCCAACCTCTGAAGTAATGAACTGTCATCTGGTGAAACAATCAATGGAAGCTCAGGTGCAAGGGGAAATAAATAAGGGATTACTTTCCTGAGCTCTGATGACTAAGCATTACTTGGGGAAAGACAGCACAGTTTTGAAGTAACACTATCACTGAAATTATAGCTCTTCACGCTAGCTTTCAAAACAAAAATTATCATACTAGCCGTACGATAATGGAAAATGGTGTCGTACATCTTGTCGAGGATGAATTTATCGTACATGTCCTATAATTATCGTACGTGTGGCAACACTGGCGATTACTGTATTCACTTGACCGCCGCGCACCGTATTCATATCTTAGTGTATACTAAAACCATTAAGACTAAAAAGGTCACTTAGACGAGAGGTCAAGTACACAAAAATGGACTTAGCTGTATTTAGAAGACACGAGACAGAGACGAAACACTGAAACAGTAAAGAGAGGATTCCATAAACAGGCTGTTGAGGGCGAGTCACTGTGGTGGCCTGGAATCGCAATAAAGATAAGAGAACAAAAGGTAGGTTGGTAGTAGAGTTGCTTGGAGAAAGGTAGAAGTAAAGAACAGAGTGAGTTGGAGATGAAGAGTTTTGAGTCTTTCATCTTGAAAATATTGACGTACAGGTAGCATGAAAAGGATAAGTGTATCGTCTTAAAAGTTTTTAGTGAAAGTAGGAGACAGATATTTGAGCTTTTATGTCAAGGTTACGAGTAGGAAATTAAAGGAATGGGAGGTTTGAATCGTTGATTTTAAAATTCATGGTATTCATAGCGTGGAAGTATGAAGATATCTTCGCAATTTATTGTTTTTTTTTAAGAGAAAGTGGGGAATAATTTGGTGTGGAATTGTTATGAGTGGGAGGTGAAGGGGTGTTGAACTTTGCAATTATTATTACTGTTGCTGAGTACGGAAGAGAGGAAGTAAGCTGCCCTCTATAAAATGTCTCCAGCCCGTGTTTTTAGTATATGGAGTTGGATAAAGTGTATTTGGTTTGTCAGTGTACTCTCTTATACATGAAGTGTAGGATAGCCAGAGATTAGGGTTCATCCCTGCTCTAAGGCTTGGAAGTTTTTGATGAGTAAGAAAGAGAGGATGTAGGATTCCCTCGGTAATCGCTCGTTGGAGGGATTGTGGTTGTGCAGGACAATAAAACCCTCTACGTTGACGCGAAGAATATAATTAGGTCAAAACCTGTTGAGTACATCTCACAGTAACAACTGCTGGTACATCAGGACACACAGTTTGAACAATGTGATCGATGTACAGTATATAAGTACAATTATTAAAGTCGTTTAGTGTTCTCAGAGGATTCAACAGTTCAAAGTCACACTCATGTTTTACTGGTCTAGGGGTAGACCAACGAGAACAAATACGATGTCCTGCAGGAGAACTGTTGGCTGGCGAGAATCAAGATGTTGCCTCTACAGAAGGAGATAGTATGCCCTCAGGCTGTCTCATGAGCAGCTGCGGGATTTCAGCCGGCTTAGTCAGCTATCTTAGTGGAAAACAGTCTCTTCACTTCTTCCTCTCTCTCTCTCTCTCTCTTATTCTTTCTCTTCTGCCTGTATCTTCACTTACCCATGTTATTGGCGTGTACAATTGAGCGTGGCGGTAACACTCCCCCTGTCGTGCTTAGCTCAAAATCACGCCCTACTATTA